TAATATCATATTAACATATAACATAGACATCTCATGTTACTTAATATCATATTAACATATAACATAGACATCTCATGTTACTAATATCATATTAACATATAACATAGACGTCTCATGTTACTAATATCATATTAACATATAACATAGACATCTCATGTTCCTAATATCATGTTAACATATAACATAGACATCTCATGTTACTTATCATATCATATTAACATATAACAGACATCTCATGCTACTAATATCATATTAACATATAACATAGACATCTCATGTTACTTATCATATCATATTCTGTATAACATGACATCTCATGTTCCTAATATCATATTCTGTATAACATATTGATCTCATGTTACTCATATCATGTTATATATAACATAGACATCTCATGTTACTCATATCATATTCTGTATAACATATTCATCTCATGTTACTCATATCATATTAACATATAAGAATGTTGTAACTCAATAATCAACAACATTTAAAATATATGAACGTTCTTCAAAACACATAGACTCAAGAAACTCATGGAGATATTTTATGTGTCTGTATTTAACAAGACAGTATACTCAGTAGCTGCAACGACAAGTTAACTCTGTCCTTCATGTACTAAACAAAACAGTATACTCAGTAGCTGCAAGTGAAGGACAGAGTTAACTTGTCTGTACTAAACAAGACAGTATACTCAGTAGCTGCAAGTGAACGACAGAGTTAACTTGTCTGTACTAAACAAGACAGTATACTCAGTAGCTGCAAGTGAAGGACAGAGTTAACTTGTCTGTATTTAACAAGACAGTATACTCAGTAGCTGCAAGTGAAGGACAGAGTTAACTTGTCTGTATTTAACAAGACAGTATACTCAGTGGCTGCAAGTGAAGGACAGAGTTAACTTGTCTGTATTTAACAAGACAGTATACTCAGTAGCTGCAAGTGAAGGACAGAGTTAACTTTTCTGTATTTATATGTAATAAAGAGAATATTCTATAATGTTTTTTTGTAATTATCGTTTACTTAGAAATGCCTTATCTAGTTGGTTTTAGTTCTTTATTGCCAGTTGGGCTACGTGGTTTTATTTTACAGAGAAAATGTAACAACTTACTGTAAAATCTATACATACTCTTCATTCTATTAATATGAAGTTTCTATCAGATACATAGGTTTCTCTTGAACACACTGATTTAAGGCATAAATTTATGATTTTTGGTAAAACAAAACTTTTCTGTAGGTGAGGACCAGCTCCAAGGAACCAGTACAGAGACAGAGATACAGGAGGAGGATACAGATACTCCACTGGGGAGCAGATTTGGAGAGAGGAAGAGTGCTTCTGGAGACAGAGCTCGTCGTTCTGCATTAAGAGAAAGGAATGTAAAGGAATTGTCTCATGTGATAGGTAAAGGTTTTTACTCTTCAATCTTCACCGTCTGTATCTAAAGAAACTAACTGTCTCATTCTCTAGTGGTGCCAGGTTTATAGTTACACGTATACTAATTCAACCAGGTAAGGTTCCCAACTCTGAGTAGTGGATATTTTACAATTTGTTTTAAAGCTATGCTACTGACTGGAGATAAATAATCTGTTCAGAATTGAATAAACTACAGAATGCTGCAAGTCAGCAGATACTTAGAACGTGAAATTTACCGGAGGTTTACTTGTTTGTACTAGGTTTTTGTATGTTTTCTCAGACTTTGATTTGTTTTTACTAGAAACTGAACGTAATACTCTGTAAATGTGTTTTTATACAAATTGTTATTATTAAACTTGAATAATTATAAATCTTAACATGCAGCTCACCTTTGGCTAGATAGGGAACAAAGGTGTTTCTGTATTAAATTGTCTGATGTTAGAGAAAACTTAATCCAAAGATAAGCTAGCATTGCTTCAGAAAATTGTTTTTATGCTTATAGTAAAAGTCTTGAAATCGTACAACTAATATTTGTAGAAACGATAGATTTCAATATTGTTTTATTTCTTGGAAATGTATTATTCTTAGTGTATTCACTAAATGTATATTTTTTTTCCCCCCAGAGAACACACCAACTAACATCTCAGGAGATGTAGATAAAGCAGTTATTGAAGGACCTAAAGATGTGGATGACATTGATGATGATGATTCTTTCTTTTGAATTCAGTTAAAGGTGTGTGCGTGTTACGTTCATCTTCTGCAGATACCTATAGCTTCTTCATACTGTAGTTTAGGTTTCGGCTTCCATTATTTATTATACAAGTGAAAAACTTTTTCTGTATGAAAAATTATACAGACTGTAAAGTAGAGGGGCACTCAGTAAATGCATGCTTCTGCCATGCAGTGTTGACCATATTCGTCTCACAAAAAAGTAAGAAAATGTGTCTGTATGTCCGTAGTTATCACAGGACACAGACCATTTTTCGCAGGACAATAAGGAATATTATTCTACACATGTCCGCCAAGTTTCACCAAAATCTGATTTGTTTTTACAGTTTCATTGAGCAAAAATAGTGTGAAAAATCAGTTTCGATGTTAATATATTGGATTTTCCTGACTTTGACCCTCCAAAATCTAATCATTTCTAATTTGGGTCATGGTTCAAATGTATACCAACTTTTGTCTAAATTCTTTCAGCCGTTTTCGAGAAATCTTTCTGACAAACAGACACAGGGGTGAAAACATTACCTCTGTACACCTTCAGTGGTGGAAATATCCATGGACCATTTCCTTTGATTGGAGCCTTCATCGAGCAACATTGTACCAAACAGTACAAAGTTGTTTGTTTGTGGAACACTTTTTTAAAGTCCGGTATCAAGACAACAATCATAACGATACGTGACAACTATCTGTAATACTTTAACTTTCTATTGCTTAGTTGATCGGTTGGCTGCTTTGTCAGGTTTAGCTTTTTCCTTTAAATGTAGTGATTGGTTCTTGTATAAATAAATAGAAAACTGTAAGTGGCTTTTCATGTAAGTTAACCAATGTATTACCAAACAAACTTACTCTCAGGAACTGTTATATCCTATAACGGAAAACCATATCTGATGATTCTATAATTATATTTACATGTAAAGACAGGAGCAGTCTTTTTACTATTGCAAACTTAGCTTGTACGCCTCGTAGCTTATGGTTTCTAAACTGTGTGTCGCGGCAAGTGTAAGTGGGTTAGTGTGTCGTCAGTGATAAAAGGTTTCGGAACTACTGGGTGGTAAACACATTTATAGAATGGAGTGAGAAAAATTTCAGCCTTATCCAGATTACTTCTAGATTGTTCAATGTATAATTAAAAAAAACGATTGTTTTATAAATCTTGTTTTCTAGTAAGTTTTTATTCATGGTATTGTTAGGGAATAGAGTGTTGGCCTTAGTTAGACCGCCCCGGCCTATTTCTAGAGTGTTACATGTTTAGTATAGCAGAAGTTCTCTTGGATGATACTGTTATGGTCTGTTAGTACATAGTATCATGTAACAGGTCTACTCATGTTGGGTATTGTTACAATGTATCAGGTTTACTCATGTTTGGTATTGTTACAATGTATCAGGTCT